CCACCTTGGCTTAAATTCCATATGTTATTTTAACAAATGTTACGTAAGCAAGTGAATTAAGAACTAAAATTTGATTAAAAATGAATAGGAGATATATAGGAATTTAAGAATTTAAGAATTTAATTTAGATAATTCAAAGGATCATGAAGAATCACTAAAAAAATAATTAAAAATTTACTATTGAATAGTATTAACCTCTGTTTGATGAACAAATATAATAAAATTGACCTCAAACTAAATTATGAAAATTAGATTCGCATTTTATATTTTAAATGATTTTGGCAGCTTGAGAGAGAAATTAAACATGAAGTTTCATTATTTAAATATATCAATCGAAGAGTATTTTTTTAAAAGGTCTAAACTTTTCAAAAGTTATTAAAAAGAAAAATTGAACAATATGTAGAAAATTATAAAAAATTTGTGGAAAATTTATAATAATCGTCAAAAATATCTATGTATTGATTAAAATACATAATAAGGAATTAAATTTACTTCCATATGGATTATATAAAATGTTTAATATACATTTTGCTATTAAATACTTAAGAGAATTATATTTTGTAATGATGTAGGAAAATTTGAATTTAAATCATTAAAATATGCAATAAATTTATTTATTTTGATGTTAAGAAGGTCAATAAGTATATTAACATTATTTTACTATTTTTATATATGTTGTTAAAAAAAAATGACATTTATTTTTAAGTTCATGCAATTGTTAATAATTGTTTAATAGGTTTTATATAAATACTTAAATGTTCAAAAAATATTTATAAGCTTAAATTTTATGGCTCAATTATGATTTTTTGAAGAGGATGAAAAATTTAACTTTTTCTTAATTTCTATAAATTATTTTAACGGATGTTACATCAATTTTAGGAGTTGGAAAAGCTGGGTGCAGGGTCGTTCAGCGAAGTTTGGAAAGTATTAAGAATTATCTAGATAGGTTATGAGAAGAGCTGACCATCAAATTTATGCAATGAAGAAAATCAAGATGGGAACTCTTAATGAAAAAGAAAAATAGAACGCTCTTAATGAAATTAGACTATTAGCTTCTTTGAATTAAGAATTCATCATAGGTTATAAAGAGGCACTTTACATTGAAGGTATTACTTATCTCCCTATCATAGAAACATAAACTTTGGGAATAATAATGGAATATGCTGAAGGGGGAGATATTGCAAAATAAATTACTAATAAATAGAACAAAACATAAAAGTTTCAAGAATAAGAAATTTGGTAAGCCCTGATATAGATAACACAGGGTTTAAAAGAATTACATGAAAAATTGATATTTCACAGAGATGTCAAATCAGCAAACATTTTTATCTCAAATGGGATTTATAAATTAGGAGATTTAAATGTTTCAAAAATAGCCTAAAGAGGTCTATTATACACTTAAACAGGCACTCCATGTAATTTTAGTTTAAGTAAATTGAGACTATGCTTCGCCAGAAATTTGGAGAGACGAACCATATGATAACAAATCAGATATCTGGTCATTAGGGTGTGTTTTATATGAAATGTGTAATTTACATCCTCCGTTTCAAGCTTTGGATATGGAAGGCCTATATAAAAAGATACAGAAAGGAATCTACCCTCAAATAAATGGGTATAGTAATTAATTAGTTTAATTGATTGGATAAATGTTGAGACTTAATGCATCAGCTAGACCTAGTTGCGATTAAATTTTAAATAGTAATTTAATGAATTCTGATTTCAGTAGATTGTTCATAAAAACCCCGAATATAGCTATTAATAAAAGAATGATGAAAACAATATAGCTTCCTAAAAATCTTAGCACTCTAAATGATATTTTACCAATAAAAAAGTACTACAATGAAAATAAAGAAAATGAAAATGAATCAGTTAGATACAGTGTTTAAACTTCAAAATTAATGCCATTAAATAGAAAATCAGTCAATAATTCTTGCATTGAATATGAAAAAAGGTTTTATAGAATTTCTTCAGTCCATGAAGAAATATTACCAACTCTGCCTTCTGAATATAAATAACCAAAGGTTTTATCAAGAAGAAGACCAAGTAGTTAATATAAAGAAGAGGAAATAAATTTAGAAAGAAGAGCTGAAGCAATTATCTCAAGAAAATAGTTATAAAAATAATTATCTGAATAGCATCCTTTACCAAAACCTATTCTAAAGAAATAAATGAGTAATCTTCCTTATTTGTATCGTAATGTGAATGATTCGGAAAGATAAGAAAATAATAAATCAAAATATCATCAATCTCCAAACAATTATGCCCGTAGGAATATTAGAAAATAAATTACTTCATAATAATGATTCTATTTTTTAAATTATAAATGTTTATGATAATTTTCTTGTTTGTAATGGAAAGTATTTAAGAATAATGTGAAGCATATGGTGTTAGATTATTTTTAGGACATTATTATACAAGCTTAAAGATTGATACAGATGCATTAAGAATTGTATTCAATACAAAAGTATAATTTAAATTTTTATATATAGAATATATGTAATAATTAGTTTTAGTTATTCATCAAAGGTGATCTAGAATTTAATATTTCAAATTATAAAACAAAGTTATTAAATATGACAGATGTGTATATTGGTACTAAAGCTAATATAGAATATGAAACATATATACATACTTTCTAAATTCCTAAATAATTAAGTTCAATAGTATTATATACTTTGATTAGAAATGATACTATAATTAAATAAGCTCAAGTAAAATTGCCTCATCTTTAATAAGAGACAACAAAAGTATTATTTTTTGGTGATATGGATTCAAGTTGGGTTTATAATAGATCTAAGTAAACTTTTGATTGGTTTGAAAATTAAATAAAACAAAAAATTCAATTTGATAGTTTAATTTTCACTGGAGATATGGCTTATGATCTTGAATCAGATAATTGTTAAAGAGGAGAACTTTGGTTAAGTAGAATCAGCTTATTTACTTCATAATATCCTTTTATGATAACACCTGGAAATCATGATGGAGGCTTTGATTATAAATATACTTTTCTTAGAGAACACTTTTAAATGTTATATCTAACTGAATATGACACTTAAAATTATTAAAATGACTTTTATAGTTTCAACATCGGCTTGGTACATTTTATTTAGTATGATCCTGTTATGATTGTTTATAAAGCTGATCCAAATAATTACACTAAAGAAAGATTGCTATAATAATTTAGAAATGATTTAATTACGGCTGTGTAAAATAGAGAAGAAGTACCATGGATAGTTGTATTTACACATTATCCAATATATTGTAACTTTATGGATGATGATCAATGTGTTAATAATTTTAAATATTTGGCAGAATTTGAAAAATTATTTAAAGAATTTCATGTAGATTTATATGTTTCTGGTCATTAACATAATTATTAAAGAAATTATCCATATTATTAAAATGATTCAGCTTTATTTGAAATGGATGGAAATATCTATTATAATTATGAAAGTCCAATTACAATTATAGAAGGAGCTGGAGGAGCAGATTATGGTCCAGAAATTATGATATGTAAAATTTTATTATAATAAGATCATGATTAACCATATACAGCTAAGCAATTAGCATAAAATGGTGTTGGATTGCTTTAGGTGATGAACAAAACCCATTTATAATTTTAACAAATACAAGTTTCAACAAACGAGGTGATGGATGAAATTTGGATAATCAGAACTTCTGACATTAACAATGAAAAAAGCAACTCTCTTAAGTATTGGCTTATTTCTATAATTATTTGTGCTATTATCATCGTTGTCTTATTTGTTTTTATAAAATAAAATGGAAGAAAATAGAAAACTTACTAAAAAGCATATGATTCAAATTTAGTTTGAATAATAAAATTTTTTTTATTAAATTTGATTTTTATCTAATTAAGTACAAAAATAATAATTGAAATTTCTCAAAAGTTAGAAGAGTTATAAGATTTTCCTAGATTCATATTTTTTAAAATGAATGTTGGTTAGCCAGTTTTATCTGAGAGTTTATAATCAACAAAATATAAATTTTTCTTTTCATTTTCAATAGGATTTCCACTTTCTGCAAAAGTAAATCATTATTTTTCATGCAGTTGTCCAATCTTAATTTTCTCTTTCATAACTATTATTTAATACCTAAAATAATTCCATGATAAAGATTCAATTAATAATCCTGCAATAATGTAAGAATAATAATAGCTACATTAAAGCAATCATATGTTTTAATTTTTATATTTTTGATACATTTGCTATTCTATCTATAAAATGCAAATGTTTATTTCAATAATTTTTCAAAATATAGAGGTCATTTTTAATAAATCAAAACATCAGAAAATATAGAATTATATACTATAAATGAAGAATATCTGAATTTTTGTTTATTTAATATTATTTTTTCTCTCTTTTTATGTAAACTAAATTTTGATTATTTAAAATAGATAAATCTTTAAAAATCATACATTGTTCTTTTTCTTCTTTAAATTATATATGGTATTTTGAAAGTAGTTTCCTTTTAAGAACATTTACATGATTTTTACAATAATTTTCTTTAGTTATCAAAATTAATAAAGAAAACTATTTCAAATAGGAATAGGTTCACCAAATTCAGAACATTATTGTTATTTTAAAACTAAATTATATTTGACTATTAAAAAAATGAGAAAACTTTGATTGGGTAAATATGTATAATGTATTCCTCAAAAAAGAGATTTGAATGAATTTATTTTTAATTATTTTAAAAACAATAGCTTAAATATAAGATGGATTAAAATCCAAAACAATTCATCCTTTATAAAGCATAAAAATTTAACTAATTACAAAATTTGTATAATTAATGACAATTAGAAACATAATTCAATTATAATTATTAAAAAATACCTTAATTTTGAATTTCCTTTTTTTGGATTATATTAAATATAAGAATTACTTTTTCATAAAATTTTATATTTATAAGATTTTGAATATTTGAAAATACTAAATTTTACTTACAACTTAATATATTATTATGATTATTTTAAATTATAAATGTTTATGATAATTTTCTTGTTTGTAATGGAAAGTATTTAAGAATAATGTGAAGCATATGGTGTTAGATTATTTTTAGGACATTATTATACAAGCTTAAAGATTGATACAGATGCATTAAGAATTGTATTCAATACAAAAGTATAATTTAAATTATTATATATAGAATATATGTAATAATTAGTTTTAGTTATTCATCAAAGGTGATCTAGAATTTAATATTTCAAATTATAAAACAAAGTTATTAAATATGACAGATGTGTATATTGGTACTAAAGCTAATATAGAATATGAAACATATATACATACTTTCTAAATTCCTAAATAATTAAGTTCAATAATATTATATACTTTGATTAGAAATGATACTATAATTAAATAAGCTCAAGTAAAATTGCCTCATCTTTAATAAGAGAAAACAAAAGTATTATTTTTTGGTGATATGGATTCAAGTTGGGTTTATAATAGATCTAAGTAAACTTTTGATTGGTTTGAAAATTAAATAAAACAAAAAATTCAATTTGATAGTTTAATTTTCACTGGAGATATGGCATATAATCTTGAATCAGATAATTGTTAAAGAGGAGAACTTTGGTTAAGTAGAATCAGCTTATTTACTTCATAATATCCTTTTATGATAACACCTGGAAATCATGATAGTGGCTATAATCGTAAATAGATATTTCTTCGAGAACACTTTGAAATGCCATATCAAAATATGTATAATACTTAGGATTATGAAAATTATTTTTATAGCTTTAATATTGGATTTGTACATTTTATTTAATATGATCCTGTCAAAATTATTTACAAAGCAGATCAAAATAACTTAATAAGAGATCAGCTTTTGCTACAATTTAGAAATGATTTAATTACGGCTGTGTAAAATAGAGAAGAAGTACCATGGATAGTTGTATTTACACATTATCCAATATATTGTAATTTTATGGATGATGATCAATGTGTTAATAATTTTAAATATTTGGCAGAATTTGAAAAATTATTTAAAGAATTTCATGTAGATTTATATGTTTCTGGTCATTAACATAATTATTAAAGAAATTATCCATATTATTAAAATGATTCAGCTTTATTTGAAATGGATGGAAATATCTATTATAATTATGAAAGTCCAATTACAATTATAGAAGGAGCTGGAGGAGCAGATTATGGTCCAGAAATTATGATTCGTAAGATTATATAATAATTTAGTTGAAAATAAACCATATACAGTTAAATAGATGGACCAAAATGGTGTTGGTCTGTTGTAAGTGATGAATAAAACACATTTGTAATTCTAATAAGTTAGAGTTTCAACAAATGAAATTATTGATGAATTCTGGATAATTCAAAATAGAGATACTTATGATATAGATTATTTTAACTTAGAAATTTGGATTATTTTCCTAATAGTTGGGATTTTAATTTTTTTATTGATTCTAATATTATTTTATTTGTTTAGACGTCTAAAATTAAAATTCAATAAATAATACTTACATGCTACAGATTTTATTGTGTGACAAATATTTATATATATATATATATTAAAAATATATTATTTTATGAAATCAAAATCTTATACTTTTATTAAATGAAATCATCAAAATATGTTGATCGGCAGAACTAGATGAAAATTAAAGAATTATCGAATAAATTAATTTATAATTTTAACTTGACAATAAAAAGGTTTTTTGGATTAGATTACTGAAAAAAATTTTAGCTTAATCATTTAATTGTTAATAATCCAAATCAATTTAATATATCGCCTCTAAACTTTTTTTATCTTTATAACTTAATATATTATAAAAATTTTGATATATTAATGTTGATTCTTTCATATTATTAATTAGATTGTAATTTAAGTTTATCTTTTGTTAATCACTCTTTTATAATTACACTTTATATTTTAAATTAGTGTACAAATGTATCCAATACATTTAAAGAAAAGATTTTTCTTTTATTAAAAGTAGTTAATTATATTTATGATTAATATCAGTGTTATTGTAATTGAATTTTATTTATTCACCCATAAATTTAATTCAATACCGTATTAAGAATTATGTAATCATTTTTATTTACTACAAAATAAATTTGAATTTTGAGATAGTATATGAAATAATAAACTTTTTTATTCTATCATAATTTTATTACCTAGATAACTTTGTATATAATTTTGGAGAATATTAATCATATAAAAATAAAATATCAAATATAATCATAAATATTATATCAAGCTATCTTTTTGTATTTGATGAAATGAATTTCTTACAAAGTGTCATAATGTTTACGATGATGAGATACATGTTTGATAGAATCACAAACCCTTATTAATTATAATTTTAACATCTTTTTCCTTCTTTCAATATTCATCATATGTTATGGTTTTGTACGAAATCTTTCTGAATGACTGTAATTTGAATTTATAAAAGAGAATTACAGAATACCATGTTATCTTTAATCTTATTTCCTTTCTTTTTCTTCAGGATGTACAATTGTTTCTTTATTTATACTTAATGATCTATAGTCACAAATCTATGGAAGTAATATATGATCTAAGTCATTTTAAGGTCCTAATCTTTTTTTTAAATGATTCATTGTAATAGTAATATTGAATAATTATATAATGAATATTGAACATTATCAATAAATCCATTGAAAATTAATAATATTTTATATTTCTTTTTATTCTGATTTACAAAAATAAAAAACAAGCCTTAAATTAATTAAACAATCATATATTTGATCTTTAAATTATTGTAAAATAGAATCTTTATTCAACATAGCAAAGTTAGATGTAAATTATAGAACCAAATTCTTTTAGTTATATTATCAATAATTGGAGTAGGATAGAACAAAATGAATTAAAAATGTAATAAAAATACTTTTTTAGAAACTTTTACAATTTAATGAAATATTTACAAATAATATTATTTGATTTTACATGATAAACTCAATTAAGAACTAATTTAAGCAACAGCTTGAATTACTTCAGGATAAGAAGTACAAAAAACCAGCATTTGAAGCTTATAATATGAAAAGAGCTTTTGTCACTTTGGATCAAGCCTTTGAATATGTTGGAGACAATTCCAAATATCAATAGAGGATCACATTATTATTATGCATATAATTTTTGTTTTACTCATTTTTTGTTATGGGTATGCCCTATTTGTTATAAAATCCTTCTAAATATTGTACTGATGGAATCTGTATTGAATATCCTAATTGTAACAATAGAATAGATAGTTTAATTGGATTTGACAGTATTGCTAAAGAATTTGGATTATTTTGTAATGGTAGAAAAGCCTTTATAGCTGCATTATTTTTTGTTGGTTAAATGTTTGGAGGATTTACATTTCCAATATTGGCAAATATTTTTGGAAGAAGAAAGATTTTATTATTTGGAATGAGTTTAGGTTCTGTATCAATTTTAGTAGGGTCTCTTTGTGATAATTTATTATCACTTTATGCACTCTTCTTTATTGCAGGTTTTGGATTGAGTGGCTATGAGACTGTGGTTTATGTTTATATTACAGAAATAAGTGCCTTAAGATTTCGATCTATTGCCAGTTCTTTATTAATTGTTATATGGAGTTCTTCAATGCTTATATATCCATTTATAGTTGATATTTTATAATCATGGAGACTTTTAATGATGTGGAGTATTGGAGTTCCTCTATTAATAACAGTAGTATTGGATTACTTTTACTTTGTAGAATCACCTAGATGGCTTATTTCTAAATAGTAATATGATGAATGCAGAAGAGTATTTAGATTTATGAGTATCTTTAATAAAAGAAGACCATTTGAATTCAACTTTATGGAAGAATTAGATAAATTCAATAATCGTTGTGTAAAAGTAGCTTCAATGAAAAAGGTGGAAACCTAAATAAAGTTAACATAACAATCTAATTAGAATGCAGGATATTGGGAATTATTTAAAAGATCAAAATTACTTATCTAAACTTTAATATTGGTTTAAATGTGGTTTTTGAGATATTTCACATATTATGGTTTACAATTTTCAGTATCTACATTTGGAATATCAATGACAACTACATTGAGAATGTTGGCTTTAGTTGAGTTAATGACTGGAATGTCAAGCTGTAAAATTATATTTAAATTATAAATTAGTATATTTTAAGTTGAAATATCCAAGAATCGTTTCATTATAGTTTTGTTTACTTACAATGATATTAAGTGCTACATTATCATATATTGATATTCCCTCAGAATGTTAAGGTTCATTGTGTTGGCAACAAATACTTCATCTACTTAGTGCTATATTAATCAAAGCAAGCATTACAATATATAATTCAATGCTTAATACATATACAGGAGAAGCCTATGTAACAACAGTAAGATCATATGGATATGGAGTTTGTATGACTTTTGGATAACTTGGTAGTACATTTGCTCCTTTATATGTGTCATATGTATAGGAAATCTACCAATAGGCAAGTGCAATCACAATAGTTGGTTTGTTGGCATTAATTGCTCTTGGATTAACATGGTATGTATTAATCTTAATAGACCTAATTTAGGTTTTTACAAGAGACTTACAAAAAGGATATGTATGATAATTTGACAGATGAGGTAATGGCAACCCAAACTCTTCCCCTGATTAATCAGGATATGTAATTTGATGAAATCGAACTTTAACAATTAAGCAGATGATTAATATAATTATATATTTTTTTATGCAACAGTTGAGGAGCAGCCATTTCTAATTAGGATAAACAGATTAAAGTATATAGCTGATATATTACAATATTAGAAAATTAGTTCACATCAACTATGAAAATGAATTTCAAAGGGGACTAAGTAAATGATTAAGCCACTGGAGTTGGAGATTAATTGAATTTAAGAGGAGTTCATTTTCATTTAGGAGAGTCAAAACGTATAATTTCAATTCTTATTCTAGCTTCCTATAATACAATTTTCAAAACTGATTTTTAGGGTAAACAAATAGGTGAACCTGCTACCTTAAATGAAGAAAAAAAAAATGATTTGAGAACAAATCATTTTGTACTTGGTCATCAATAGGCTCAATAAGTATCTATTACAAGAGCAACATATAATGAAAAACCACTTCAACCAGGATTATAAAATGAATAAGAAAGTAAAATGCATATATCCTAAATATGAGTACAAAAAAATAAAATGAGATCACATCATCATAATTTTGCTGAAAGTTCTCATAAAATGATGCAAACAAACTATAATTAACAATATCAACCTCAATAATTAGAACCTAAATAGGATTTAGCCGAAAGAGCAAGACAACTAAGAGTTTCCAATATTTTTCTAGGAAAAGAGGTAACTAACAAGTTAAAATATATTATTAGTAAGTTCCAATGATTACAGCTTAATAAGAAGATTATAATAAGAAGGAAGGAGGAGCTTAGGCTTCATTTAAACCAGGATTTTAATCAACTCATTTTAATTTTGGTAATGCAAATCCTGATTTCAAAACAATGAATCAAGAATTCTTCCATCAATAAGAAATAACATCAAATCCATTTGCAGAAGAAAACAGATAAAATCTAAGAGGTTATACCATTTATAATTGTTTTAGCCACACATTTTACATTAGGAAAAGATAATTAACCATATCAATCTGAACAAATGTCACATTTCAGACCACATTCAGAAAATAAAGTTAACTATATCAATAACACTGCTGCCTTATAAGGAAGTCATTTTACTATTGGAGATCCAAGATTTATGAATCATAAAACTTAAACTTTCTATAATTCAACTATGAAATCACCTTAATAATAATAGAATTCATAGGCAAGAGATTAATAAATGGATAGAGGATCTAATTTTAAAGTTGGAACAGATAATATATCATATAGATCAGAAATGCAATCCAAGTAATATTTATATCAATATTCAAGTTTTAAAAATCCATCAGGATAACCTGCTTAATTATCTGAAAAATTATTAAAAGATTTAAGATCTTCTCATTTTGGATTAAATGATAATGTTAGTAAAAATACATTCATGACTACTAAATAAATGGAAGCATTAAATTAATAATAAGGATAGCCAAATAAATTAGATCCACATGCTAGTGCAAATTTAAGATCTCATCATTTTAACCTTGGTTAAACAAAAGGAGACTTAATTTCTTAAACACATGATATACATAGACCATTAATAGGAAAACCTAATACATTAAATTAATAGTAAGCAAATAATCTAAGAAAACATCATTTCGCATTATCATGATATCATAAGATAATAATAATTTATAGATAATATTATAAGTTTTAGGGTTAAATTTTAATATGGTTTAATCAAGATATAATCTTTCTTTTTACTATTATAAAATTGCTTTGAATATTTGATTCCTTTAAAACCTTTTTTTAATATTTAAGTCATTAAAGTGCTTTAAATAATTCAAAGTAAGCACTCATGACATATTTTTAATTTGTTATTATCTTAAGTTAAAAATTTGATAACCATAAAAATTATAGATTTCTGGATATTCAAATAAAACTTATAATTTTATTGTAGTCAAATAGATAGATATTTATTAATAAACAATATAAATTATATATACTATTATTTAATGTATTTATTTATCAATTTACTTAATCAAAGATCTAAGTCTTATTTCTTATTTTTCTTCGACTTTTGATTTCTTTTTTCAATTTCTTATTTCACTCTTTCTAAATCCTTAAAATAAGTAATTAAAATACTTTATCAACTTGATGCGAACCACTTTATGTTTTTTTAGCTTTTTCTGCTAATACTTTTTTGATATCTACTTTATCAGTTTATTATTATTATTATGGTTATTATTATTATGGTTATTATTATTATTATTATTCTGGTTATTTCTCAGTGGTAACTTAGGCTGGTTATTTATCAGCATCTTTATTTTTATTTTTTTTCTTCTTTTTTTTTTCTTAATCTCCAGCCTATTCAGTTTCTTTTTAAGTAAAACCTAATTCATTCAATATAGCATCTAAATCTTCATTTTCTTTTTTCTTTTAATCTTTCTTCTTTTATTATTATTATTTTTCCTCTTGAGTTTATTTTTGTTTCAAGACTATTGTATAATTAAATAAACAAACTTTGATATTAATTGACTTGTTCTTCTTTAAGTTATTCTTATGCTTATGTCTATTATTCAGATTCGACTTATTCTTCAGGTTTTTATTCCTCTTCATCACTATAATCCATAAGTCCTTAGAAATTGTTTTTCTATAGATTTATAAATTTTGAATACACTTGGTTTAATTCTTCTAGCCTCTAATGCAGCTTATTGCTCTTTTTAAATTTATTCAGCCTATTTCTTTTACAACTCCTTGAGTCTAACCCATTCTGGCTTATGATGCTTTTGATATGGTTTTTTTGTCTATTTCTTTTGTTCATTATTTTATTCTTATTCTTATTGTTATTCCTATTTGACCTCTTTAGCCTAACTTTCTTAAGGTTAAGTTTCTTAAGCTTATGGTTGAACAATTTCTTCATCATCTGAGATTTCTGCCCAAATAACATTTGCAGTGGTACTATCAGCCATTTCAAGATATAAATAATTTTTAAATATTTTACAAAGTTAATAATCAAAATCATCTAGGTAC